GTTCAAAGAGATAGTTCTGAAAAGAACTTTGATAAATATTATGCAAAGTGTGATTCCTAATATGTACTAAAACTAATTAGCTCTGAAAAGAACTTTTCAAGTAAAGCATAAAAAAGGTAAAAAAAAACCCAAAATAGTCAATGTCACTCGCGTCCACTGCGTAAAGAGCCCACTGCCCCTCTCTTGTCAAGTTATCTTTTGAATGGAATGCCCGATTTCAATAATTAAAAAGTAATCATCACGTATTGAGACAGTCTTGAATATTAAATTATTTATTTGGATAAAATTTTTGTAAATGGTATGGATAACACGGTCTGATTTTGTTCGGCATTTCTATCAATTAGTTAAATGTAAAAAAGTAGTTATAGCGACGTAACTACAAGAGTAAGACATATGCTCTCGTAATGTTTTTTTTAGATATTGATATATTCTATAAAATTGTCAAACATTTTTTTGTCCTATCATTAATAGTTTTCGCAGCGTATGCGAAGAAAGACATTTTACGGCTAATTTTTTCTTCCGTTGGTTTCAGCAAGAATTTCTATAGATTCCAATAGTAATCTAGTACTAAATATAGCCTATGTTACTTAATGATAATGTAGCTTTCTAATGAAAAAAGGATTATTACAATCGGTCCAGTACTTTTTGAGTTTATTCCTTATATACAAAAATACAAATTTTTCCTCTTTATAATATTAGTATAGATTACAGTTGTAAAAGCTATATTTTTCACATGTTATTTGCACATGATGGCATTATATAAATTCAAGTGTTTTCGGAAATTTTCCCGATGTTGATATAAGAAGTTTTTTTTTTTTGCGATACCGATGAAACAATATATATTATTATTATTATTATTTTCTATCGGGGACACCCTTGGCAGGACGGGTGATCAGTCCACCTTATCCATTGACCATTTCACCCATTTCCCCATTTCCTCCTTGCAGAGGTTTTGGGTCACAATAAAAATACAATATATATCAAGAGAACATATTTCCGAATATCCAAAGTAAAAATAGGTCGACACAATATCTCGTTGAGATGTTATATGGCGTATTGCGAAAATCGACAGATTGAAACTCGAATTGTGATAACGTTTGTTCGATTGTTTTTGATATTTCCACCGCTCTTTAAACATCCAGACGAAGACCAACATGGTGGAAGCAGTGGGGATCGAACTTATGATTATGATAATTAACCATACATTGCTATCAACTAGCCCGTTTAATATAAGGGAATGATAGTTTTTCTTATTATGTTTTTATATAGAAATAAGTACAAACAGTTTTATTTTTCGTTCACTGAAAACTACAAGAAAAAAATGACATAATCATCATGTTTTACTAGTGTAGCCCTTTCATTTGATACCTATATTGAGGGGGTTAAGGAAAAATATGTAATCCGCCATTTTGTATCGGCGGCCATCTTGCTATTTTAAATTAAATGTGTGTACCAAATTTCAGGTGAATCTGACAACAGGAAGGTATTAAATTTCAATTTCTAATTTTGACCCAAATAAATAAACTCCGTACGGGTCGAGCTAAATAAAACTTTTTATAAATAATGTAACGACTGACTGACGATGCCGGTTCAAGTCCTGCCCGAGTCGAAAATTAATTCAATTTATTTTCGATTTTTAAATTACATAGTGCCTTCATGTGCAATAACATGTAAAAAATATTAATAAATAATGTAGTTGTTTCCATAGAATAGTTCCACTTCAACGATTGAAAACAAATAATTCAAAACGCCGATGGTATATCGTCAGAGTGAATCAAAAATCCCAGCTCACACTTTGAAAGAGTATTGGAGAATCCATTTCGTATCTATTGTAATAAATGTATGGTGGGAAATATTACGAACTTTTGCGATTGGTAAAATATTCAAAAGCACGAACTCGCTCAGGATAAACGCTCTTTTTATTTATAACTGATATGATAGAGGGACAGACAAGCTTCACTTGATGGTAGGTGAAACACGCCAGCCTATAGCATCTAAATAACATGCGCTGTCGGCCTATTTTGGCTTTGGATATACGGAAATCCCCAGACTTTTTTATCGGTGGACGGTGGATGGAATTTCTATATTCCTACCACCTAGTTGATATCCAGATTTTTAGACGAAGTCCAGCATGTTTAAAAAATATATAAATTGTTGGCCCGTTGATCTTTGATTTGGTAGGTGAAATATCTCAGCCATATAAGCTTTGTATATTGGGAAATCTATAGAAAGAAACTGATACGTTCGTGACCCGGGCAAAAATTCAATATATCTACCGATTTAATACCCACATTTCCAGAAGTCTAATATGGTTCAGAATAAATATTAATTGATTATAAATAAGATGGATTGTACCGTATGTAGAAAGTACATTAAATACTGTCTATAGTTTACGCGAGTAGTACACATTTAAATGAAAACACTTTAACGGTTTAAAACGCGATAAATTATTTTTAACTTCGGCCCGACGTTTCGGATGCTTTGCAGCAGCCGTGGTCACGGGGAAACAGGGTTAAAGTGTTTTATTTAAATAGAATGTACATGTTAGAAGGCTACGTAATAGCTGATAAAGTTATTAAATATTAAACAACTGGCTAGGCCAACGATCCTATGCCGTATGAAGTATTTCGACGAACTTTGATTCCAATAAACACGTTTCTTGTAAGTTAATCTTAAAAAAACAGACGAAGGTATTGTTTTATATTATTTAAAGAAAGGTAATTTTTGGGTCTCGTGAAACGTTTTCGCAGCACACGATACGGTAATCCTCAAAGTTGAAGGATTTTCCCTGTTGTTTTCATATTTCTCACTATTTCTTCGTTTGTTTCGACCGCAGTCTGATGTTTAGCCTAAAGCTATCATCGATAAATGCTCTAAACAATACAAATATATTTTTTAATTTCAAATCAGTAGTTCCTGAGATTAGTGCCTGCAAAGAAACTCTACACCTTTATAATCTTTGTTCCGGACAGCTCGTGTTAGCTTCTAGGCATAGTAATATTATTGAGAACTAGCATATAAATAAATAAATATTCATTATACTTAAAACATTAGGAATACGTTGGGTCATAAATTACACTAAATAGACCGTTTGTTTTGCATCCACTTTAGAAAGGTACAATTTATTGGCTGCATTATTGGATAAGTTAGGTTACTTTAAGCGTTGACAAACGTAAGAAATCGTCACGCCATTAGTTGAAATATTTGCGCTGAAACAATAAAGTGTTTGTTTCCCATGACTTCGCCACCACGCTACATTCGATACCTGCAACCCATTTCTCTCTCTTGTGACTGGAATAATGTACCATAAAAGAGGGCTCAGGGAGCGGACCAAACCAGTTCGCTTCTAACATCGACACGGCACGCGTCGCGAGTACTTTGCATCGTATTGATAGATAGTTAACGCGGCCGTTTAGACTTTCCGTACCATACTTTGTGCGCACGATATAGACGCGTAACAGCAGCGTGGCAATCAGTTGTCGTGGCATAGCGACATATTCTCTATAAAAATAATTTTCAAACAAGTTCAACTAATATATGTCACTTTTTAAACCGTGAAAGTGTTTTATTTAAATACACAATTTTGGTTTTAACTGGCAACAGACCGTCATTTCGGAAGCACCTTCATTAATTTCGCATTTAATAGGGCTTAGATGTGTTTTATGCTTATAACCCTTTAAAACCCTTTCTGGCGTATTTCACAGGTCTTCCGCTAAAATTGTCTCTGCGAAATGGTGAAAAATTTGGGCAATTTGTACGCTTTGAACCGGCCGCGTCGCGAACGGGATACAAAAGCGATGTTTAATACGTATTTTCCGCAGCCACCCGACACTAATGTAATTGTCGGAATCGAGTTGGCCACGCACAACGCAAAAATGGACCGAGCTTTAAAACGAAAGTGTGGTAACACAGTAAAATGTACGTCCTGGGCGTGGCTATTAGATTTAACCCACTCAAATCATACTTTTACTAGCGACCCGTCCCGTCTTCGCTCGGGTGCAGTGCTGATACTAATTACACTAGAGAAAAAAGATAAACGTTGTATATAAAAACTTAGCGGCCTTCTCTGAAATTGGTCCGGCCGGTACCGTCGCAAACGCAAAGTATTTTCGTAAAAATTTAAATCATATCCTCTAAACGGCCATATAGATCTATTTTAAATCAACTATGTACTTAAGATATTGGTTTGCATAAGGTTTAATGCCGTATTAGTTGCAATCGCTACCAAGATTAGCCATTATTTATCGCAAAAGTAAATGATAAAAAATTTCATTATTTATAATAGGATATGCATAAGAGATGAACATATACCATTATGGAATTTTCTGTAGCCCTTTTGAGTACATTATTTTAATAAATCTTGTAGAGTTCACCTGCGTTTGCAGAAGAAATTATTTAGGACATCAAATTAAAGAATTTAAAAATAATGGCTTTTCTCCACTATTTAATGGATCTCATTATACATATAAACCTTCCTCTTGAATCACTCTATTTATTTAAAATACCGCATCAAAATCCGTTGCGTAGTTTTAAAGGTTTAAGCGCACATAGGGATATAGGGACAGAAAAAGCGGCTTTGTTTTATACTATGTAGTGAAGCTTATAATTCCATTGAGGTATAATGTTAAATACTTTCTAAATGAAGTCATTCCACAAAAGGTCGACAGCCCATCTTTGTAGATGTTATATGTCTGGGGTATTTCACCCCCATCAAAAATATAAATATATTTAAACTAAGTTAATCATATGTTTAATCAGACTTTCTATAGAAAACAGCCGTACGGAACCTTGCATGCACTGGGTCAAGTTTTATTATTTATGAATATAATATTTATTTAAATAAAACACATCCGAAACATGGGGCCGTAGATAAAATATTTTTCAAGCAAGTTTAACTAAAATATATCGCGTTTTAAACCGTTAAAGTGTTTTATTTAGATGTGTACTACTCGCGTAAACTACAGGCGTATTTAACATAAATATATTTTTATTATACTTACAGATGTGGGCGTCTTCTTGCTACGGCTGGAAGAGAAATGTTCAATGACCTCCCAATTAGACTTCTTGGGGGTGTGATGCTCCCCTGGTGATGAAGTGGCTCTCGGCACGGCTGCTGGCGTTGTCCGTCCAGATTCATCAGCACGGACAGATGTGCCGGCGGAGCGGAGAGAGGCACACCTCCTACCACGCAAGGCATCCTGATAATAAAAGACATCGTTATTTTAAAATCAATGACTATCCGGGTCCAAAAATGGACTTTGTTAGTTAAAGCGTAAAAGGTGCCAGAGCCTTATTTTATTGGGAAGATATTGTTTTACTTGGCACCGACTTCGACTATTATATAAAGCTGAAGAGTTTGTTTGTTGGGACGCGCTAACCTCGGAAAGTACTGTTTCGAAATGAAAAATTCAAGAAAGGCTATGCGACCTATGGAAGCGATGATATGGTGGGAAATGTGAAAGAACCGGAAAAAAACTATTCATCTGTGAGGGTTACCGATGTATGTCTTCTCAAAACGGTTCAAGATACCCACAAAATACGTATGTTGGAATGATTTCTCTTTAAATGATGAGTTAAATAAAATAAAATATTATTTATTCTCTGTAAAATTATAAAAAAATATTTAGATCCGTCAAGAAAATCCGTGATGTAAAGATAGGTCCGCGGCAGTATCTTTTAATATTAACTTGCTAAGTTGTATTTTAAAAATATTTATTAAATCCCTTCTATTTTACTAAATATATTAATTTTATGTAAGTTTTAATTTTTCTTTTTGTCTACTGTTTGATGTCGGTTATTTTTTATTAAAAATTATTCTATTTTACGATTTTACGAGACGGGTAGACCATGATATTGAATTTTATATAAACAATTCTCATCAATGTACACAATAATTTAAATACAAGATAGGTGCTGTATCAACCTAATGATAGCTAAAACAAATATAGCTATAAACATCTTAACTAGGTGTAGGTTTACGAACGAACCTGAAACATTGAAGGGCGTTTTCGATTCGCCAATCTATATAGCTAACAGTGACATTGGTTTGCTCCGTATATACTAATATATCAAGCTGAAGAGTTTGTTTGTTTGAACTTGCTAATCTTAGCAATTACTAGTTTTAATTGATAATGAGTTTAAAAAATCATTTATTTTTAAAGATGTGGAGGAGATTTTCAAATTTCGATGCCCAAAATGACAATTCTACGCGCACGAAGTCGCTAACACAGCTAGTATTATTGTAAATTATATAGTTTGAGCTATTGACGTGCTCGAGGGATTAATAGTATTACTGTATGGCTAAAATTAACATGGCTTCGGTTCCTACCTAGTATAAAATTTTTTTATAATTTTTTGAGAAGCCTTGCAAATCTGAATATTGAATGCTAGTAATATCGAAAACACTATGAAGTACCGACTCTGCTTGTTTCAGTTTCAGCCTGTAGATTTCCGAATGTCCAAAGCCAAAATAGGTCGATAGCACATCTTGTTAAAATGTTACATGGACGTATTTTCAACCAGCAAGTCAACCCCAGGCCCGTCTGTGCTCTATTACAAAATAAAACATACTCCTGTACCATAGCGAATTGTAGGTATAGAGAAAACAGTTAACATTCCCTTTAAATCGGCTTTATAAGATCTTGAAGTCTTCTTAAGCTCCAAACGACGTTTCATTCTATCACAAGGCATTAATGTAGATACGTTAGCAATCTAGGCACATAATGTATGCCTTTTCCGATGGACAGTCGGAAAGATGCTTTCGCAACGTCTATTACATCTATTGTTAAGAACGAGACTTCACTAATTTTTTCTTTGATCTCACTTCAAATGACTTATTCTGTCTATACAGTATGTCTACAATAATAGATAGTCTATTTATCTATACTATAAAAACACTTTAAATCGCGCAAATTCACGAATTATTTGCCGTGGTCACGAGGGGACTGAAAATGGAGGGTCTCCCTAACGTCAAAGCCAAAACTTATTGAGAGTCTCGCCGGCTGCAATATTAGTTAAACCTATTACAAAATAATTTGTAACTTATACATTTCGCGTTTTAAACCGTTAAAAGTGTTTTATTCAAACGTACTGCTCGCGTAAACTAGAGGCTGTATTTATCTATACTAAGTTAGAACAATAGAAACCATGTCACATTTATGACAATTTTCGCTACATCTCACATTTTTGTGTAGGCGATAAAAGACATAACAAAAATAGATATTTAAATAATTTTCTCCTCCTCTTCGTTTAAACAAACGAAACAAAAGTTAAAGTTATTAAAAAATTCACAAACACTACACTAAAGACAATATTTAATTTTACTGGAAAACTTTGTGAAAAACTCTACGCAGACTCAATTATAACCGTTACGGCTCTGTTTTTCAAGCGTCCTCCCGTCTACGACCCGAGATCTTTTTTACATAATATTCGAAAATAGTACATTTATGAATTCCAATCGTGAATATAAATTATATCCTTTTGAAATAACAACAAAATGACCCTGGCCTCGTCTTTTACGTTTAAAATATTCGATCCAAAATTTATGTTTCTAGTACAATAATTATTGAGGTAGGATTTAAAACATAACTCAATAAAAGCGATGAAATAGAAATAATTGTGGAAAATCGGTGGAAACTATTCATCTCTGAAGATTTCCATTGCGCACGCTGAAAACGGTTCAAGAAACCAAAAAAAATAAATAAAAATATTCCTCCTTAAATGATCTACAAAATGTCTGCAATAATACATGTCTATCTTTTAAAGTTTTTATAGTAATCTAATTTAGTCGAATTTCATGCATTTTTAACAAAATAACGTTTGTCTGATCAGCTAGTTTTAGATATAAGAAATATGAAACCTTTCTAAACCTAACGTTTTTTTTAATGATAGACATGATATTAGGTGAAATGTCCTACATCAAACAAAATGCATCCTTCACTGCCTTTTCATCTTGGACAGTCGTTCAAGACCCAGACGGTTTATCGATATTCCTAACACCCATTCAATATCATATTTCCAGAGGTCCAACATGTTTCGAAAAAAAAAAATCGATCGAACCCACGACCCACGATTATAAGCCTTACATTGCGCCATAGCTTGTACACCAACGATCTCGTCAAACTAACGCTCATATAGAGTGCTCAAGTAATAAGTCCTCAGGTTCTTTAATAGTATAAAACGTTTGAGAGATATAAAGAAGTTTATAAAGAATTATCAGGCTTAGTTGAATTATTGCATAACACGCTTATGCTCAATTAAATGTAAGATAATACGTCTATGCATAATAAAACCATCACTCGTGTAAACCTTTGTAAGAAGCTTTAATAATCCCACGTTATCTGTTGCTAAGCTTTTGACAGCCCTAAGTTATATTTAACCTAACATGTTTTCAATATACGCTCAAGATAAATAAGAGACTCATTTCGAATTCAAACCTACAACACGCGGGTTAAAAACAGAACTGATATTATGTGGATATAAAAATGTCTTCACTATATCATCCGTATCGTTTGGAAGTGAATACCTGTAGTGGTGTATAGAAAATAGATCTTTATGTCATTGTAATATTGTTTACTTGTGTGTAATGTACGTTACAAACAAACGATAAGCAGCATTCAATGAAAAATATATATATATATATATATATTCGCACAATGTTTTCGTTAAACTTGTTAATTGGCAAACAGACAAAACTTTTCATATGGACCATATAAAAATTTTTGTCTGTCAGACATGTTTATTTCAGAGTACAGACACGTAATTTCTACTGCTTTAATATATATTTTGAGATAGAGGAGGATAGACAAGCATAAAGTTCACTTGATGAGAGTTGACATAGCTATATAACATGTGCAGATGCGTTGTCGTCCTATTATACCTTTGGATATTGTAAAATCCACAGACCGAAACGCGATTAAACTTCACGGCTCTTACTTTTCGTGACTCGAACTGAATTTTGATATTGTATCATATATCAGTTTCTTCTGCTTAATTATTTCTGAAACTGAAGTCCATGTACCGCTAGATGTGTACTGTAAGCAATATCTTGTTACATGTACGCAAAATACTGTTAGGACAAAATTAATTGAGTCCATTTATGACAACAAACATTGAAATTTTCACAATCCATATCTATACGTAAATATGTAAAGCTGAAGAGTTTGTTTATATATTTATTATTTTGTTAGTTACAAAAGTTAGCGAGGTAGGCTATAGGCTAGAAAACATCGCCCTGTGACTAATGCAAGTGAAGATACAGCAAGAAATGCGAAAAAAAGTGGGAAAATTATTCAACAAAATGGGTTTCCGAGGTGAACGCTGCACAAAGGGTTCAAGATACCCAAAAATATGTATGAAAGAATGATTCCTCTTTAAATTATCTAAAAAAAGTCCGGAACGCTATATGTCTATCTTTTAAGATTAACTTTCAAGAACGACGGGAAGGGACGCGATTGACGTTGTGGGTAACAGCTTAAGTTTATAAAGACGAAGGTGTTTGGAAAAACGAATTTGGATGCCCAAAATAACGATTTTCGCGGACGAAGTCGCTGACACAGCTAGTAAATAAATAAAAATAAGTTCTCTCATTTCAATTAACGATTTTAATCATTAGCGCGACATTCTCGAAATCATGAAAAGTTTTTAATTAACGTGTTATTGATAGCTCTTGTTGGTTATTTATTAAACGTGAAACCGTCTTATAAGCTAATAACAAATTCTTGTAAATGATTATTAAAATTAGTTTATGGGCTTGAATGTAAAGAATTCACGATTATGAAAAAAGTTTGCGACAAAAACTGTTAATACACTAAGTAGTATAAAATGCATTCATGCATGAAAAAAGAGTCTGTAGATTCCGCGAAACATACACATTAAAAAAAAACAGTTTGTGAACGCGATATATAATAGTTAAACATATTTGAAAATTATTTTAACTACGTCCCGACGTTTCGACCAATACCAACTTCGTCGGAACAGATGGCGCTAGCGTAGCAGTTTTTAATTTTACGTCAGAGACACCCTCCATCTTTGGTCTCCCCGTGACCATTACTGCTGCAAAGCATCCGGAACGTCGGGCCGTAGTTAAAGTATTTTTCAAATAAGTTTAACTAACATATTTCGCGTTTGAACCGTTAAAGAATTTATTTTACTTTTGTGTATTCATATTAAATAAAGATACAAAAAAAGTATCAATTTTATAATTAAAAATAAGAAAATACGAAGTGAAGTGATCACTTCGTATTTTCTCAGCCTTAAGTTTGAAAGAGATGGAGGCAAAAAATTGCTTTCAAAGGTTCATTTACAATTAGGTTATATTGGACTTGATGCCAAACTGTATTATCTTTTTGTATTCAGTTAAGTATCTGAGCTATTGTCAAAGAGATTAAACAATATGTAACTTTACACTGTGTTAGAAACGGTGATATTATAAATAAATGTAATGTAAAAAATAATTGTATTTATAACTAACCGTGTCAATAACTTTGTCCGCGTAGAATAGTTATTTTTGTTTATCAAAATTAGTTTTTGCAAACCACCTTCTCATCTTTATAAACTTAAGCTGTACCCGGAGCTGGATACCCTCAAAGATGAATAATTTTACGACTCTAGCTGAACTTGACGCGGCATCCTTCGACGAAAATTTAACGATGACGTGTAGGACTCAATAGCTCAATTGTATTATTGATTTTTAATTTCAAGGGGGTATTATTTGCAATGGCTTTACATATAAGTGTGAATTCAAAGCTTACCATACTGTGTCCACTACGGCTGCGAAGGCTAAGACGCATTTTCCAGTCCCGTCTGGACGCGTGGCCCTCCGTGCTGAACGATCTTTTCATTGGCTGCGACATCCTCGCTCGATTACGCATAGGTCATTATGCGTGAGCGCATAAAACAATCTTAATGCAATGAATACTCTCACTTGCTTACATCTTAGACTAAAAGCACTAATTTCACTTGTAACACTTAACTTCACTTATGCGATCTGAAACAAGAGAAGAGATTTTGTTAAATGATACATTTTTAATGGTTTAAAACTGTACTCGTTAACTTTTTTTTAACTTAACCACGGCCCGATAAATATAAATTAAAGGTTTCCTAGAAGAGGAAAAAAGGAGTCTAGTCAAAGTGTTGGGAAGTCGACCATAAGCAAATAGGCAGGTCCTACTAGCGCCTATCTATTCTATAATAATTATATTCTTATTAGGATTATCTGTAGTTAACGCGATTAGTGTACATTATAATAAAACATGATTTACAATTAAAACGTAAAATATATTAGATAATTTAAATAAAACACTTTAACGGTTTAAAACGCGATATATTAGTTAGCCATTAATATATCGCGTTTTAAAGCGTTAAAGTGTTTTATCTAAACGTGTACTTCTCGCGTAAACTATAGACAGTATTTATATTAGATAACTTTTTTACGATTTGTTTTAACGCTCTCGAAACTCGAAATACCGAAATATAGTTAGTGTGTAATACTCGAGTAAAAGCATAGTGTATAACTTGTTCTGAATACTGTACTTGTTCTAAGTACTGTCTGTACTTATAACAAGTTATATCGCCAAATTACTTTAACGAGAGCCAACCAGCCATTAAAACCGCACAAGCCGTGCTGCAGTAATTAGCATGCGCATCATCTGTAAATCGGCCGACAGTCAGCAACTATTCGAGTGGCTCAAATTCAATTATGGAACGTTTTCATTTCCGAAGTAATTAATCGACAACTTTCATAATTTTCCCTCTCAAACGCATTTCATTGATTGATGGGCTTTCAGTTAAATATTAACTGAGTAAAGAGGCATCAAGGTTTATAAGGCGTAATCTATACTTATATATAAAGCTGTAGAGTTTGTTTGAACGCGCTAATCTCAGGAACGACTGCTTTTTGTGTTGGCTAGAGGATTTATCGAAGATGGCTAGAAGCTATAATACATGTTGTTGCGACCAATAGGAGTGAAAAACGGAGGTAGATGTGGAAAATGCGGGGAAAATTATTCATCTTTTCGCCCCGCCTGACGGAAGCTATCTATTTTTTCTCGAGAATACTAATTCAGGACGTCTCGCGTTTGACTCATATCAATACTAGCCATTCAGTTACAGCGGTGGTCTATTAGAAATTAGGAGTATTTTAAATAAAACACTTTAACAGTTTAAAACGCGATTTATTAGTTAAACTCATTTGAAAATGATTTTTAACTTCGGCCCGACGTTTCGGATGCTTTGCTACAATTTTTTATTTCCAATTTTTTACTTTGAAGTCAGAGACATCCTCCATCTTCAGTCTCCCCGGTGACCACGGCTGCTGCAAAGCACCCGAAACGTCGGGCCGAAGTTAAAAATCATTTTCAAATAAGTTTAACTAATATATCGCGTTTTAAACCGTTAAAGTGTTCTATTTAAATGTGTACTACTCGCGTAAACTATAGACAGTATTTAATTAGGTGTATACTATGATAGATAAAGTTTCATATTACAGCTGGCCGTTCGACGAAGTTTGATTCCCATAAGAACGATTCTTGGGAGTTCATTGTAATATCCTTTACACTTGCCACACTGTCGCGGACATTTTTTTTAAATCAACGGAAGCCCTCAAAGTTGAATCATTTTTCCGTTTTTTTCACTATAGGTCGCGTAATGCTTTATAGCTTAAAGCCTTCCTCAATAGTCGAAGTAATACAGGACGTTTTTCAATCAAACCTAAGTCCCTAAGATTGGCGCATTAAAATAAACTGTTCATTCATAAAATTAGTATAAATTACAATTAATTGTTTATTATTAAATTATCTAGTTAAGACGTTTGGTCGTTTAACCCTTATTTGAATTAAGTTTATCTTAATTACTTTGTACTAAGTGAGTGATGACAATATGATGATATTAATTAACATAACATCAATACATCGGCCGTAACATGGTAATCATTAGCGTTGATTTAATTAAAAATCCAAATTGTATGCCACATACACTTAAACTTATCTTATGTCTCAAGTTTACGCGAGTAGTACACATTTGAGTGAGTCCCCCCACCGTGACTACGACTGCTGCAAAGCATCCGAAACGTCGGGTAACTATATATATATTTCGCGTTTGACAACTTTAATAATTTTCACAAGTTATTGCACGTGATGGCACCACATAAATGAAAAATAGATTATAGGCTGAAAATTCGACGATGATGCATAGACACGGTAACTTCACTGTTTAGAGCAACAGCAACGGACGCTATAGATGCCGGTTCAAATCCTGCCCGTATCGTAATTTTTTAATTCACATTTCGCGTTTTAAACCGGTAAAATGATAGTATCGTTACTACTTGTCAATTTGACACCAACATTACGCATGTCGAAAGGTGTCTACAACTGTGAATGCAGCCTAACCATTATAAATACGATTAGAATTATACCTACGTTGTTTAGTCTGCGCGCTTCGAAAATAGACAACACACCTTTGAAGTTCGTTCGAAAATTGAAAAATTTGAAATCGCATTAATGCAAGAGACGGCTTTTCTTGACCGATCGTGTTGACATTAAGTCTTTATGTAGGTCAAGTGGCAAGATGGGTCATTTGAAGCGTTCTAGAGTGACTACGAACTTGCAAAGGTGCTTTTCATTTATCTCTGCTCGTGTCTGATTCGGAAACACGAGTAACAGCTGATAGACAAATAAACAGAGGTTCTACAAAACAATTAATCAATAAGTTTGCCTTATTTCAAGCCTGGGGTTTACTTAAGTAAGTAACTTTTTTATTAATGCGAAGGATTAGGGCACCTCTTATTATCTATTGCCCTAGCTTCTGCACTAAGTTAGATAAAGACACGCACAGTAATCTGGGAAAAGATCAGGGACATTGACTCGCTTTGTACTTATTGTAATTATCATATTTCAAAATATATTACCTATTATCGCTATTTATTTATATCGGCATATAACGTACCTTTAAAATTTAAATGTAAGTAGCGAACGAATTAATTTATGTTAATATGTGCCATTCATAAGTGTCCTTATTTAAACAAAACACTTCGACGACTCGAGACGGGCAATATATAAGTTAACTTATTTTGACTGAGATCTAACGTTTTATGCTTTGCAGCAGTCGCGGTCACGGGGAGAATTGTCTTTAGTTAACTGCTTGAAGAAATGATTTTTTACTATTATCCAGTATATAATTTCGTCAAGTATACAGGAGAGCAACTGAGTGTTACCTTTTGCTAACATTTTATCGAAATTAAATAAGTGACTCTAGAAAATTAAACGCGGCTGTGCTTCTAACGACAATACGATTTTAATCCCTTTTATTGGAACCGTAAAAAACTTAATAATAATATCCTTTGACGACAAGACATTACTTTATTAAGCTTTTGTCCTCAGCTTATACATTATCTTTCCTTCAATTTGACCGTGAGCCGCGAAGTTCCTAAATATTAGAATAATGTTTTTATACTACCAGTCTCCTTGCTTTGCAAATAGTAGGAAAATTATTTCGAGAATCAAAATAAGATTATTTAATCCATTATTGAGTAATTATATAAAATAAAATAATTTATTCCATATAGAAATAAATACAATCTTTACAAGGAAGGTGGAGTAATAAGAGGGACACTTAGCTTTTGTCATACCAAAAAGTTAGCACGCAAACTTTTAGTGTTGTTACGAGTATTAGGTCGATATAGTGTTTTTTTTTTCCACACCATAGCAAAGTGTGTAAGTGTGTGAAAAATTCCAAATTCAAATAATTTATTCCATATCGAACAATCGAAACTTCTTCCGGGTCACGAACCGTCGTCCACAGATGAAATAGCCATGAAGTTTAATTGCGTTTCGGTTCCAGTCCGTAGATTTCCGAACGTCCAAAGCCAACATAAGTTGATAGCGCGTCTTGTTTAGAAGTTTTATGGCGGTAGTTTTTCATCTACGATCAAGCTTGCTGGTTCTTCTCTATCATTAAAGTCTTCCGACATAGTATAGGGTCTTATAATAATTATCGAAACTTAGATATTGACAGCGCGATCTATCAAAGCTGGACCCCCGAGGCATTAGATCCTCGATGAGGTTTCTTACAAGTCTACTCCCTAGCGATGGTAAACATTAGCTGAGGGAGAGCAACATTAATATCAATATATTAATTATTAGTTGTGTATAAGTTTGTTTAATTTATATTTTAATAACAATCAATATTAAACATGCATATAAAATGAAATAAAAAATCATGTGATGTGCTGTCAATAGATAAAATAAATATGACAATTTTTGTTAATTTTGCCAGAAAATAGACCAAGATTGTAATTTTAGTTTATCTAACGTGAAAAGTTCTGATTTAAAACCTTTTTTTAATGAATTGCTATACTTATAAAAATCGAAAGCCTGTTTCCCCCTCGTGGGGCATGGGGCGAACACATTTCTGTGTTCGTTTCATTGATCCGTTTTTAAGGGGCAAGTAGTTGATCAGTCTTCTGTGCCCTGTCCGACCGAAACCAGTTTTTTTGTTCCCTGGGTTTCGAACACAGGACCTCTCGCGCTCAACGCAATGCTAGGCAATACGTTTAATCATTCGGCTACAGAGGCGATCATGTTGAAACTATACTTACATTGACATTAAATTAATGGTTTATCTATAATATAAAAACAACAGCATGAAAAAGTGATTATGTCAAATGCGAACGAGAAAGAAAGCGACGTAGCTAACGCACGTACCACGTAACGAAGTAGTTTATCATAAGGAGTTTATAATTTCAATAAATAAAAAGTAGCCAGAAGGCTCTTATCTTCAGAATGTCATATACATTGACATCTTATAATTGCGTGTTCAATAGGACGTGGTACAGGCAGATAAACAACTATCGATACAA